AGTACAACTATCTATACACATTTTTATTCTTCTAAGTGGAGAGGTGGGCATGAAATGCTTCTAGTCAGTCAGCCGTCTTTGAAGCCTCTCTTCTAATGCTGTATTTTCCTCACCACTCAAAACGTGAAGTGTATATTTATTGAAAGCAAATTTGAATTATTTCATTTGAATATAAATTGAGTGAAATGCTTGGAAATATTATCTTTCTATATATGCTCTTGTACTGAAATTAATTTGTAGCTTAACATCTGGTTCTAAACTTACTTTATTGGTCACAAAGGTAATTAGAAGCCAACTTCCTGGCAGCAGATACCAAAATATAAGCTATGGATAATAACAAGCTAATGAGGAAAGCACGCATTTCTGTATTCCAAATAACTTGCTAAAGAAAGAAAAAGCCGGATTCATTGTTTGCATTTCTTCTTTAAATTGTAAAGATACATGCATATGGACTACACGTCCTTAGTTTTTCCAGTTTTGGTTTTCTTCCACTTGTAAAATGATTCACACCTTGGAGAATTATAACTAGCCTTTAAAAATATATATATATACACACACACACTCATGTTTATATACATACCTAAAATATATAATGTATATATACTTACATATATCGTGTACACGTGTATATATATGTGTGTGTATACAGTATATATGTATCTATATCAAATGTGTATAGGCAAAATTATGTGAAATATAACAAGTCATCAGATAGCAATAATGTCATCATTTAAATCAGACTGTTTTAGAAAGCTGGAAATCAAACCTTGAAAGTAAATTTTATGCAACTTCTATGTAACTTTAGCCCATAGTTTATTTCATAGAGAAAATGAACAATTTAAAATTGTTATTCTCAACTCTGAACTTATCCCATGGGAGAAGGAGAAATATTTGACCATGAACTTTCCAAAGCCATGGTCAATTTATTCACATCATATTTGGCCTGATCATGGCATTTGATGCTCTCTAGCCACTTTGTCATGTAAAAACATTCACTCTACTATCTCCACCCATGAATGCCTCTTTAGTTCCATTGGGTTGTCACTGAATTAAACAGAGAAGGTTGCTTTCATTGCAAGTAATTAATATAAAAAGGTTTGGGATATCATATCCAATATATAAGATACTGAAGAGGGCCTTTTTCTTTGCCCCATACAGTTTTTGGGACTTCCATCTTTCTGGTAAATGTTGGCTTAAGTAAACAGAATCAAGAGACAGATGACTATAGGGCTGTGCAAGAAAAAACCCCATTTCAGCTAGGCAGGGGAGTGGAGAGTGAGAGGGGAAAAATCAGTGAGGATCGAGATTAAGGCTGGAAAAACAAAATGCAGCTAACTCATTGAGAAATTTGAATTCCAGGGTAAAGATTTTAGACTTTATCATATTAAATACACTTGATCTTCATTATTCAGGAATCCTGTAGTTACAAATTTGCCTGCTAGCTAAAATTTATTTGTAGCCCCCAAATCAATACTTATGCTGTTTTCACCACCATATAATGATATGTATTTGGGTCACCTGATACGCATGTTCCCAGCTAATGCCGAATTAATGCCTTTCCTTCTTGTTTCAGCTCCCATACTGTACATGAGGATCCCTTCTCAGGTATATTTAAAGCCATGTTTTTAACATTTTTGTTCTTTTTCTTGGTGATTTCGTGTTTAAAATGAGCCATCAGGGTGGTGGCTGAACTCTTGCATAAGGTTCTTATGTGAAAGAAAGTTTTAATATGCCTTATGGAGAAAATACATATGCTAGATAAGCTTTGTTCAGACAAGAGGTATAGTGCTGTTGGTTGTGAGTTCAGTGTTAATCAAGAATATGTATTAAATAAGATGTTTTTAAAAAGAAATATACATACACAATGTTATATATGGATCAATCAAAGAAAATATTGTGACTAGAGGCTTGCAGGAATGTAACCTTGCATTTTGCTTAGAAAGAATTACTCAGGGCCGGGCGTGGTGGCTCATGCCTGTAGTCCCAGCACTTTGGGAGGCCAAGGTGGGCGGATCACAAGGTCAGGAGATCAATACCATCCTGGCCAACATGGTAAAACCCCATCTCTACTAAAAATACAAAAAATGAGCCACACGTGGTAGCACACACCTATAGTCCCAGCTACTCGGGAGGCTGAGGCAGGAGAATTGCTTAACTTGGGAGGCAGAGACTGCAGTGAACCGAGATCATGCCACTGCACTACAGCCTGGGTGCAACAGTGTGAGACTCTGTCAAAAAGAAAGAGAGAAAGAGAGAGAAAGAAAGGAAGAAGAAAGAAAGAAACAGAGAGAGAAAGAGAAAGAGACAGAAAGAAAGAAAGACTCAATATTCACTAATTCAGTGTTCTTGGTTATTTTATAGAAAATAACTGCCGTGATGAATACTAATTGCCTGTAACTTTTTTTTTTCTAAATGCGAAGGGGAGTCACCAACAGGTTGAAGACCATATAGCATGCATGTGCATGTCTTTTCACATTTTGATGTAAGACAAGAGATAGGTGCCTGCATGGTTTGAACAAAACTTACCTTAAGAGCTGCTCAAAGCTCTGTTACATAGAACATTGCATTCTATAGTGGGTCCAGTATTTTTCCTAATTGTATAGAAGTGTGTGTGCATACACGTGCACATACACACACACATAAGCACATAAAATACTGCCCACATTAAACATGGGGACCCTACCCTGAGCTTCATGCTTTAGGGGGCCCCATTTTGGCCCTATTCCAGTATGCCAGTTCCATAATGTTTCGCAGTTCATGGGGCCAAGAGGATGTATCCATCTGGGTCTCATGCAATCACCTTACCCAATTCTTCCTAGCATACCCATCAGGTTAGAGAGCATCTAGATTTTCCTGTCCAAACGGACACAACCCCCTCTCTCTTTGCTTTGTATATCAACTTGGATGCTGGCAGTACTGCTGGTGTGTTCATACCTGGTCTGATGGGTATGTGTGGGATGTGTGGACAGAAGTTTGATGTGAGAACTGGATATAGGCATTTGTGTATCCCTGAAGTGAGAGACAAAGATGGGACTGGGAAGCAAAAGCAGCAGCCATGGTCAGGGGCCAGGAGTCAGCAAATGGCTCTCCCCAGCCTGCCGTGTTCTAGAGAGGAATTTGAAGGGGTCTAAACATTTCAAATTTATATTTGAACCTCTAAGACTTATTTTTTATGGGAGGAGAATAATAGTTATTTTATTAAGTTATTTATTAACTTGATTTATAGTAAATATTTGCAAGTACCTATGCTATAGGGGGCCCCATTTAGTCTTACCCTGGCCCATAAATGTTATCGGCCACTCTGTACACATGTACACACACAGACACATACACACACACACACACCTGCCCTAATTTAACTAGATGTAGCCATTTCTATAGCTGTATCATTAGTTCATTCAACAAATGTTTCTGAGCACCTTTTGTGTGCCAGGCGTAGTTTTAGTCACAGACAATTGAAGACTAGACATAAAGAGAATCCCTCCATCCACAGAGCTCATGATTTAGTGCAGTAGTTCTCAATCCTGGAATCACATTAGAATTTTCTGAAAATCACATTAAAAAATCTGATACTGGGTCTACATTTGGTCTCATCCCAAAACCAATTATCTGGGGATGAGGCAAGGGCATCAAGTTTATTTTTTTTTATTTTTATTTTTTTGAGGTGGAGTCTTGCTCTGTAGCCCAGGCTGGAGTGCAGTGGCACCATCTGGGCTCACTGCAACCTCTGCCTCCCAGGTTCCGGTTCAAGAAATTCTCTTACCTCAGCCTCCCAAGTAGCTAGACTTACAGGCACAAGCCACCATGCTCAGCTAATTTTTGTATTTTTTAGTAGAGACAGGATTTCACCATGTTGGCCAGTCTGGTCTTGAAATCCTGACCTCGTGATCCGCCTGCCTCAGCCTCCCAAAGTGCTGGAATTACAGGCGTAAGCCACCGGCCAGCATCAAGTATTTTTTAAAGTTGACCAAATAATCTCGATGTGTGGCCAAGATTGAGAACAGCCATTGCTGCATACTAACAACCACTTAAAAGGTGCTTATTCCATGTCATTCGTAGTTTTTGTTAACAACTTTATTGAGGTCCCCATTTCTCCTTTCCCCCAGCCCCTGGCAACCACCATTCTACTATCTGCTTGGTGAGTTGACTATTTTAGATAGTTCATATGAGTGCAATCATGTAGTATCTGCCATTTGTAACTGGCTAATTTCAGCTTGTGTAATGTCCTCCAGGTTCATTCATGTTGTAACAAATGGTAGAATTTTTTTTGAGGCTGAATAATATCCTGTTATGTGTGTATACATTTTAAAAATCCATTCATCTGCCAATGAACAGTTGGCTTAGTTTTAAGCACTTTACACATAGTATCTGTTAATTTCCACAATAAACTTCAGGACAATGTAGCATTATTATACACTATATTTCCTGTGTGTTTCCTATATGTTCCTGTAACATTATTATACATTACAGTTCCTGTGACTCATCAGGAAACTGACAGACCTGGAAAGTTAGGATTCAGCGTTCCTGTTCTTTTAACTGTTACTCCAAGTTTCCTCTCACCACACCTGGTTGGTCCAGGTGTGGACCCTTGACTCAAGGCAATTAGTGCTTTTCCCTAGGAATTGTAAGCGGCGGGAGTGGTGGAAATGGGGAGCTAGGAAGGTGTAGAAGGAATAACGTCTCCTTGTGAAGGAAAATTTTAGAGACCATAGATAAAGCTGTTATGAGTTGAGAAGCATAGCTCATGAACACTGTAAGCACCCAAGACCTTATTTTAGCTATTTTTAAGGCCCAGTGAGATCCCCTATCTTCTTATAGCTTGGCTTTATATACTGCAGTTGAATTCTATTAACCATCAAATTCCCATTTTGCCTAAATTAGTTCGAGTTGGGAGTCACTTGTGAATTAAAATTTGCTAATACACAGTTGGTATTAGTCCATTCTCACACTGCTACCTGAGACTGGACAATTTATGAAGAAAAGAAGTTTAATTCACTCACAGTTCTGTGTGGCTGGGGAGGCCTCAGAAAATTTATGTAATCATAGCAGAAGCGAAAGCAGGCGCGTCTTCTCGAGGTGGCAGGAGAGAGAAGCAAGCAAACGAGGAACTTGCCAAACACTTATAAAGCCATCAGATCTCGTGAGAACTCACTCACTATTACGAGAACAGCATGGGGGAAACTACCCCCATGATCCAATCACCTCCCACCAGGTTCCTCCCTAAACACCTGGGGATTACAATTTAAGATAAGAGTTGAGTGGAGATACAAAGCCAAACAATATCCATAGTCCATTGGGTATATTCTCCAAATGCCACATTTAAATGACTTTATCATGAACTCTACATCCATAACTGCAACATGACCTGAGATATATCTTAATTTGTGATGTTTAGACAGTAGCCTAAGTCTGCACTGTAAGCAGCAATGTCTTCAGTAGTGGCTGATTCTTTTTGTGAAATTAAAATCTCTCAAGAGTGACTGATGATGCTCATGGGATGCTGGACTTCCCATAATGCCATCCTGTCAGTAAATATTTTAGCCCTTGCTGAATCCAGGACCCTGAGAAATGTTCTACCCTAGGATTTGATTCTATATATGGTCAAGAACATATACAACATACTTCTGCATTGGATCTTTTGGTGTTTTTTTGTTTTGTTTTAATTTTGGATGAAAAGCTCTCAGCATATTAATTCCAGAATATACACTGAATGACATCAAGCCAATCCTTGTACATTAAGGCTGTTGTATGCAGCATGGAGTCTAATTAATTTAGAATTGTAGAATGTATTAATTTGTTTCCTGATGGCATTTAGGAGTGATTTTAGACTACATACCCTTGCTCATGATTTTTTAAAAAACAAGATTCTATCAACTCTAGATAATGCCATTTTAGATAAACAGTAAAATGGGAAAGAGATGAGCAAGTCTTCAGTGGAACATGTATTTAGTAGTTCAAATATACTCTGATAACTTTATCTTCTGTCACTGCATGAAAAACTATAGGAGTCCAGAAGATCCTGTTATAAATATGGAAGCACGGCATCCCATGGTATTTATAAAGCCTCCTAAGTATTAGCTTCATTCTGGCTCCATCCTACTGACCTCTGGTATTGTAATCGTCATCATTTTCTTCTTTCTATAGACCTCTCCCCCAGTACATTACAATTTTATTTGTATTTAAAGCATTATCTGTATTTTACTGGTCACCTTTAAAGACTGATATTCCAAAGGGGCTTATCTTTGAACCTTGTGATCTATGCAGGCTGTAGTGAATTAAAGCATGAATTTTCTCTCTGACTGGCTTAGTGCACTAGGAATCAATGCACTCCAGCAGGTGGCAGCAAAAATAAATAAATAAGCTAAACAATGAATTATAAAGACCCAGAGAAAGAGGGCTTCTTATTTAAACTTTATTGCAGTTTCTCAATCTCCTGTCTTTCTCATTTCTGTTCATTTTCTCTAATTTTGAAAATATGGAAGAATTTATTCGTTGATGTAACAATATGAATTTTAATTTCATTGATGTGGAAGAATTAGAAAGGATAGAAACCCAGTTTTATTTAATTGTTTGCAGTTTTCCTGCCTTTGTGCTTATCTGCCTCCAAGGGGGTGTTTAGCAAACCTTCCAGGTGACGCTAAAGAAAGTATCTCATCTTTGGCTGCAATGAAAGCTGGAACTCATTAAGGGGATTTGTGTGGGTGATTCAGAAGAGGTAGGAGAAGGAGGTGTTTGGGAGGTATAGAAAGTAGAGATTTCCCAGGACTAGGGGCAGGAAGGCTGCAGGTTTTGGGCACAGTGGGTACCTGTGATCCCCTCCCCATGTTATGAGAGGGTGAAGGCAGAACGCGTGGGCTTGGATGTTGCTAAGTGTCAGGGGAATCAGGGAGGATGGATAATTGGAGGGGCCATTCCAAATATTTTATCCCACAGAAGATTACTGGGATCTTCATCTGAACGTAGGGTAGGAAAACCCCCAGAATAATAACAAAACTGACTGTCATGATAACTCAATGTGATATGTATTCAGATTCAGAGGATATAAAGTTGAATAACATTTTAGGCCCTCAAGTTTCTAGTACAGGTTCTTTCTTTGCACGATCTTAGGGTTTTGTTCTGCAGAAACAACTTGTTCCATAATGGTTAGTATTGCAACTTTGTCCTAGAAACTGCCTTTCTTGATGAAAAGTGGAGATATTTCCAGCCTTTTATTGTGTGACAGGAGCCCCGTCCTGTCCTATCCTAGGATAGGACTAATACAAATTGAAAATCAAGATAGGTAAATCAAGATATGAAAACCAAGATATGTATCAACAAAGCTTAAAGATACATTAAAGACATCTATTTTGGTTGTATAGAAATATAGGAAAACAATGAATCACACAAGCCTTCTGAAAACCCACTGTGAATGTTTCTCATAAAATCTTAAGACCAAGTAATTTACAGTCTGAATCGCACTCTGAAATCTAGCCAGTAGAGGGCAGTCAAAGAGTAGTTCATAGAATTCAAGGGCTCCAGGCTCTTTCCATACTTCTTGCAAATTCCTGCCAGTAAGCTTTTCTGACTTTAAAAAGTCAAGTGCGTTAATTATATCATTTCTGGATTCTGGATTCATGTTACCATTATAAGAACTTTCTCCTTACAAGTGTTGGTTTCCTTTAAATTATCCAGGATCTGAAGTTGGTGAAGTCTTATTAGCTGGATCTTCCTTAATTAAATGTGCCCTAAATTGCTTTTTATAAGACTCACTGCAAAACGGAGAATAAAATTATTTTTTCTATCTGTGAAAAGTCTGAATATAATTTAGAAATGTTGAATGAAGGATTTATCTACAGTGGGAGTGAGCATAAATATAAGGAGTTGCCAGATAAGGAAAGATAAGTAAACCTTCCAGTGTTTAGAATCATATCAGAAAAGTCAAACTCTTGGTTTTAATTTCCCAGTTGCTCAAACTACTAAATCCCCTGAGAAACAGTGGGATGGAAATGCCCTTTTGGGAAGAGTTTCTGGTGCTTTCAGGGGAAAATTGTACAGAAATAGGCATGTTTGCTGCCTTGCAGCCTCAAGTCATTCTTAATTCATACCCAGCCTGCCCCCAGGAAGCGGTGAGTCAGTGATGCATCAGAACCAAGAACTTCACATGAACACATATGAAGTTTAGTTTTAAAAATGGGTGAAAGTTCAAGAGTGACGTTTTTTCAATTTTTTCAAAACTCGTTTCCATATTTTAGTTGGAACAGAGGTCAAGCAACATTAGTGTTCAGTTCCATCCAGCAAACAGTTTATTGCCTCTGCATGCACCAGACCCTGTACCCATCATGAATGGAGGAAGGAAAAAAATGCCACCAGGATGAGCAAGCGCCATTGTGGAAGTTGTTGTGAAGGATACTTCCTTCTCTCTCTTAGGAAATGTGATGCTCTTGACCATTTTCTGTGCCTCGGTCCTCCATTTGTGCTCTTGCCGCCACCCCACCATCCAGCCCAGTAGCATCAAGGTCACCTGGACACTTGTCAGAAATGCAAACCTGTGGTTTAACAAGACCTTCCAGGTGATTCTGCTGAGCACTCAAGTTTGACAACTAAGCTATTCACCCTGGGCAGGCAGATTAATTTACTTGATACATTTGAGGACAGAACTGGGCATGCTTAGCTCCCCCACCCTCTTCTTCCTGGATGAAGTGTAGCACGGAGCATGGCTTCTCAGCTGTTCCTCTAAGCAGAGGCTCTTTCCACCCGTCTGGAGATTTAGATTCTAGAGTTCGGTATCACATTTACGTGCAGATGAAAGTCACATCTTTCAGCCTAGTTTTGTCAGTAATAAAGATAATATTTTGGTTTCTACCAGTCCTATTCCTTGTCTTATCTTTTAGTAGTTAAGAATGCAGGCAGGGAAGAGGGATTCGTTAAATGAATCCCTTCAGGACTCCAGTGAAGTTCAGGATCTGGCAGAGGGGATGGATTTACATAGAAGTAGGTTTACAATAGTGTACATTTCATAGTCGTAACATAATTCCCACCTCTAAAAAGCTTGTCTGTCTCTTGGTAGGATGTTATCTTTTTTTCTCTTCGTTTTTTAATATATATTCTTTGATTTCAGAAAGAGCAACTTTATCCATATAGCAAAATTTGACATTTTATAATGAACAAAATACTGAGCTAATCAGATATCATTTAATTTAACAATGTAGTTCCAAAATGTTATAAGAAAAGTTATAGGGGCTGGGCGCGGTGGCTCACGCCTGTAATCTCAGCGCTTTGGGAGGCCGAGGCGGGTGGATCATGAGGTCAAGAGATCGAGACCATCCTGGCCAACATGGTGAAACCTCATCTCTACTAAAAAAAATACAAAAATTAGCTGGACATTGTGGTGTGCCCCTGTAGTCCCAGCTACTCGGGAGGCTGAGGCAGGGGAATTGCTTGAACCCAGGAGGCAGAGTTTGCAGTGAGCCGAGATTGCACCACTGCACTCCAGCCTGGTGCCTGGCGACAGAGTGAGACTCAAAAAAAAAAAAAAAAAAAAAAGAAGAAAAGAAAAGTTATAGGATGGCTCCATTTAATATTCATGTAAATATATTGTAAATTGATAACTCAGAGTGATTTCAATGATTTCTTTTGGAATCTTTGCATTATAAACAAAGCACAGGTTTTACCTGTAGCTGAAAATTAAAATTCCTGTTTCTCTTCTCTTTACTTACCTCAGTCTTTCCCTCCCTTACTGCCTGATTTGTGTTACTTTTCCTTGTCTACCACAGTCATCAGAGGCCCCTTCCTCCTTGAGTGCCCATAGAACTCATGTCTTGGTCTTCTTTGCTGACAGTTTGTGCTTCTGATTTATTCATGTTGTTTTCTCAAATTCTTTCTGAATATACAACATCTAACTCTCCTTTATAGTCTCAGCACCACCATAGAGGGTGTATACATACATGTTGATTATAATATTAATTTCTTATACATTTTTAACATTTTTATTTCTGAGTGTTTAAGAAATGATTCGTTTTAGTTACAAAACTTTTATATACTCTATTATAGCATTTTAACTCATGTATTGATTTAACCTTTGAATCTGTCATTTAAAAATGTCTCA